TGAGGGTGAACATGATGATGATGATCGGGGGGGAGTACGGAGCGCAGAAAGGCGGCGTCGTCGTCTTGCTTCTGGAGAGCCATTTTATCTTCTTCTTCTTCTTCCTCCTCTGGTTGTTGATGATGAGAGAGATGGTTCTGGTTCTGGTGGGGGTGGTCCTGAAACTCCATAGCTCTCTCTAGATAGATAGATAGCTACTCAGTATAAGGGAGCCAGGCAGGGCAGGAAAGAGGGCTAGCAGCTATTAATAATATACGTACAGTATAATAAACACTGTGGAGGCTGAGAAGAGCAAGAAGGACAAACTTGTCATCATTTCATTGGACCCATTCAACATTGGTGGTGGACTGGTGGGTGCTCTCTTGGCTCAGGGGCAAGCGGCGACTTTTGTATTCCTCCATTGATCTTACGAATTTCGACAGCCTGAGAGTCATATTATTTAGGGAGTATAATACCTTTTGGTGTGTATTGGGTATGAGGCGACGTCTCTAAAGACCATATTAAGGATCCGTTTGGTATACGGAATTGATGGAATTGGAATTGAAATTCCATGGGATTCAATTCCATAAAATTGAATTTACCAATTCCAATTCATTTTTTGAACTATTAATTCCAAATCCACATCATGGCTTGCACCATCATCACCACCCTGTTCCTTATTCTCCACCACTACAGGTGTCAGTTTCTGAAGGGCAGGTGGTGGCTCTTGCTCATCCGACGCCCCGGTACGATGACTGTCACATGTGCCAAAAATAATTGCCTCATGCACATTCAGATACCGTTGCACAAGACAAGAGGGGTAGCCCGGTTAGCAGCAGCAACATATCTGATCCCTTTAAACTGCCCAGGGCTGCCACGTCCGGAGCCCTTTTGGAGTGCCCTCAATCTCATGTTACGACGCAATACCGGCAGGAGGCAGTGGCTAGTAATGCAGTTCCGAGTGATCTCCTTGCTGCTGGCATTCGTCTGCCCACAACTACGGAATACCTTACCCTCGAATCACCGAATCACGACACTTGTAATTCTCTTCCTAAAGAAGGTAAGAATGGTGATTCTTCAAATTCTTATTATGGACACCTGAAGCATATCGAGGATAGGATGGAAAACCTTCGGATGCAACGAGATGATATTCTAGTGAATACTGAGCAGAATATTAATAATAATTTGTCGCCTACAGTTGATAATATCAGATATACTGAATTTTTGGAGAGTAGAAGTAACGTAAAGCCTTATGAAGCCTCACCCACTTCCCCAAATGAAGCAGTATGCTTTCAAAACATTTGGGCACAAGACCAACCTCTTTTGGGGAACTCTAGTAATGTGTTTGTGCATTCAAAGCACCCGGGAGTTAACTGTTTGGTCCCACCTAATGAGATATCTCTTGGCAGTTGTGAACTTATTCCACGTGGCACTGATTTCATCTCAACAGATGGGAATGGATCATCACCATCTGCATCGCGTGAATTAGGAGGAGATGCACCGGAGAGTGCAAATTCACAGTTCAGCAACCAAGACCCATGGAGTATGCAGCATCACGATGCTCGTTTCTCTCTTCAACCCAACAAACTTCAAGTGAGAAAGGACCCAGTGGATGACAAGGTCTTCCTTAAGGACAATACTTGTAGCTATTTGGACATGGATTTTGGTTTGGAACATGTTTCGTCCAACAAAGGCAAGTTAATTTTGTTCTTTGTCGTGCATACTCCTTGTCTCTTTGCCATCTTTGGATTCTTATGCTCTTAAACTCGCTATTTTTTTTGTTTCCTTCTTTGTCTACTCAGGGGAGGAACTAATGATCAAGCAGGATCTTCAGACTGTTGCTGAAGACGTAGCTGCTTCTGTTCTTCCCTCATCTTCTACCCCGGATAATGGGAAGGGCTCTTCTCCATCTACAAGTGAACGGAGTGGTGTAGTCCAGATTGGTCAAGGAGAATGGCAATATAGAGATAAACTTGAGGTTTTTTGTCTGTGTATAGCAGCACAATAGATGTATGTAATCTTGTATTGGCTGTCTAACATATATGTAAACTGTACAATGTTTTCAGGAAGTAAAAACAAAACTTCCAGTGAAGGAAAGTTTTGGTTCTCCAGTTTCGGGTGACATTGGGCGCTTACAGGTTTGATATACACACTCTATTCTGCTACAATAAATGATTGATGTATTTAAAAGCTTATTTTCTTGTTTAGTAATACAACTTCCACTGTTTCTATCTCGTATTATTGATCCATAGATTATAAAGAATAGTGACCTTGAAGAGATTAGAGAGTTGGGATCAGGAACTTTTGGCACTGTTTATCATGGAAAGTGGAGAGGGACTGATGTTGCAATCAAAAGAATTAATGACAGGTGTTTTGCTGGAAAACCTTCAGAACAAGACCGCATGGTTTGTTTCTTCGAAATGAAAGTGATGTATTATTCTCCTTCCATTTTTTGCCTTCATAATTAATATGGAGTAATGTTTCTGTCATTTAGAGGGATGACTTCTGGAATGAGGCAATCAAACTTGCAGACTTGCACCATCCCAACGTTGTTGCTTTCTATGGGGTTGTGCTTGACGGACCTGGAGGTTCTGTGGCAACTGTTACTGAGTACATGGTCAATGGCTCTTTGAGGACTGCTCTACAGAAGAGTGAGAGGTAACAATGTGTATTTACTTATCTTTTTAAATCATAATATTGCTTTGTTTGTTACATCCTTTTCGTTTCATCTATGGGGTTGT